TCCTCCTCTTCCACCTCCTCCTCCTCTTCCTCCTTTTACCACGCATAGCGTATGCACTACTATGCGGATTTATTCGCGACCGGCCTGGATACCGGACGGCCACCCGTTGCATGACAGACCCCGTAAGCTGCTATCTCCGTGTCAGCTGCGAACTGATTACAAGTTCGCCGAGAGTTTGACGTCATCCCTCGCGTCCTACGCCGCTGCGATCGACGAGCTTAAAATTGCGGCACGATTCCGTGACGGACACGAGCGCGTGTCGTTGACATCGTTTTCCCTCTCGGGGTCCCTACGGGGGGAGGGGAGTCCCCGCACCCTTTTTTGCGCCGATCCTTTCTTCGTTTTCACCCGAGACTTGAAGCGAGACACAGGGAGAGGACGAGAAAGAGTCCCCCTGTTATCTTTCAAACGACGTCTGCCGACGATTGTTATTTCGCGCCCATTTGCATTCCTGTGCGCGCGCGCATTGTCCGTCTCTTGATAACGAATAGTTCGCGATACGCGGGGCTAATTTTGTAACGCGACACGTTTCTTTCGATAATAATTCTGGCGAATGAGAGAACGCTGGCGCAACGTCTGCGATGTAGGATTATATTTTTCTACTGCTTCGATGAAGCACAGCAAAGAAAAGATTAACATTATACAAGTATTCTCGCGGACGGGAAACCAAGGATTGAAACGGCTTCGGTGACAAATGCGGTGACGAAGTCGAGAGGAAAAAAATGATGCTGGCACATTTTCGTAGTTCGATCTTTCGTAAATTTTCACGCTGCGCCGTTCTTTGTCGCAGATTCAGGTTCACTCTAGGTAGGTCGAGCGAAATCCAGACTCCGCAGCCGCAGCGAGTAATTCCGCGGCGATCATAAATTTTAATATCTCTATTCTTAATTAAACGAATCCGTGGCAACTTTGCGCTGCTCTAAATGAGCCATGTGTACACCGCCAATTACAATGATGAGTGGGCGTGGTTTTTTTGTTTCATTGTTCCTGTATTGGTGACACACGGAAGGAACAATGTCGGCAGCGAAAAAGCCGGCAAAATGCTTGAACACGCGATCTCGATTATCCGTATAACGTGCGAATGTAGACTTGTGTCATGCAATTCGATTGTCTGCCTGTATTATAGAGCAGGGACAGGCGGTTGATGGATTATGAACGTCTTATCGATCCCTCAGATCCCTCAAATCGTGTATTATTTATCGCGTACTGTCGTTGCGGTCACTCATTCGTACAAATCTGTCGTTGTTTCGCGACTTTATCAGTCAAACGTTTCATTTTCGCCGAATAATTAGATTTGCCTGATAAATTTCATTTTCGAATACCTTAAAACGCACATTCGTGTGTCCATGAAATGCAAAGCACAAAATTCGAAGCGCTATTTAATAAAATTACGATGTTCGAAGTAACGTCAGTCAAGTTGCAAAGCGATAAAATTGGCGGACGATATCTCTCTGAGTTTTGTCCGCGCAATTTACGCCTTGTGCAAATTTACACGTCTTATCCATCTATAAGATGCGTCGCAGGAACGCGAAAGAGGGCAATCTATCGGCGAAGTTGAGTCACAATATTTATGTCAAGCGGGGAACTGGAAAAATTGAATTTCTGTCCTTGCTGATATATCTCAGTTTGGAAAAGTTTCTCGCAGCGCGCGTAAAGATCTAATCTCGTCACGGCACGGCGTATACTTTGCCGTCTTAGTTCTAAGGCTAGTGCTTTGTCCATGAATTCTACCGACTTTGCGGAACGAAGAAGCTTTCGGGAGGCGAATTTACGCGATTGTGTGCAAAGCCGTGGTATCAGAAACAGCTCCGGTTTTCTGGCAAAACGCTCTCCTTCCTGGCAAAGCATTATTGCCGGGATGTTTCTCTCTCTCTCTCTCTCTCTCTCTCTCTCTCTCTCTCTCTCTCTCTCTCTCTCTCTCTCTCTCTCTCTCTCTCTCGCTGTTAAATCCGTCTCTGCGATTGCACCTCGGCGCGATTAGGGATACGGGAGAAATTGTTAACTGAATATTCGTCACCGATGCTCCGCAACGTTGAAAAATAATACCTCCGCAGCCGTAACCATCGCGCGACGATCTGTCAAACTAAGGGCCATCACACGTAGAAAAATTTTAACCGTAACCGTAAAGTTGTAAGAAAACTGACCAATCACAGTCGATTATTATAATGTCACAAGAGAAAGGATCGACTGTGATTGGTTAGTTTTCTTACAACCTTACGGTTACGGTTAAAATTTTTCTACGTGTGATGGCCTTAAGTTCGCAAAGTGACACGCGATAGATGATTGATTACGGTGTGTATTCTAAATACGTTGCATCACGATTCTACGTGGATGGAAGAAAACCCAGGTGACAAGCGGAGCTCGTGTAGAGCGATGACTGCATGACAACGCGAGTACGAGCGACGTGGCGCGTACGGCTCATGCTGTACAGCAAGAACAAAGTTTGATCGTGCACACACGTGTGTCCCCGGGAACGCGCGCGTAAACGCCTCGAATATGCGTCGGCGATCGATTCGCGAAGGCTCTATACGCTTCGCGTGACCTTATCTACCTAACGACTAACGACGAAATGCACCCCCGCGATTCCCATGTCACGACGACGCACCCATCGCACGAGGGCATTTCGCGCAGACCGCATGTCACCGCGACGATGGAACGTCCCGTTTTGCCACCGCCGCGCAAAGAACGAGAACCATCGCTCTCATCAGCCACGCTTCTCTTACTCGTTCCTATCGTCGCGAGCAAGTACGCGGGATTATTTCCGCATAACTGTGGCACTGAAAAATAAACTCATTCAAGTTTCCTTGGCTCCGATTCCTGGCGCAACGTGGAGGTCCGTCTCAACCTTGCCCCCCTCTCCCTTCCTCTCCTTCCACGCGTTTTCTCGCCGCGAGTAACACTTGGCAGACGAGTTCGCGTTGCGTCAAGACCGCGGGCTATATCGCCCGAACTTGGACTCGAGTTGTAGTTCCGGCGAGTGACAAAAAGCTCGTTAACAAAAAGTTGTACGCGAGGCTCCGTCAGCGAAAAGCTCGCCTCAACTCGGAAATTCCGGATTTTAATGAAACTCCGTACACGTATCCGGGGGTTCCGACTGATGAATAGCAATTGGAAAGTTTTAAACTCACTTATTGAGAGCCCTCCTCTATATAGATGCAAACAAGCGCGCGCGCGCGCACGCGAGGTTTCATTTTAAATTATAATTTCTGAATTCGCGACATCGTTAGCTATCGTATCGCAAAATGCATTTTATATACGAATGCGTCGTATGTTTCATCATTTATTTATATTACAAACACAAATAAGCGCAAATGAGATACGTGATTTTATCAGGATCTATATGAAATTTTAATTAGATAAAATAATGAGAAAACAACACGGGACAGATTTATAGTTAAATAGTTGACAAACGCAAAGATTAATATATTGTATTATAACAAGGCATTAGCGAGAACGAGAAGAACGTTGGAAGTGTCGAAAATTAAGAGTACGAAGATGAGTGGACGCGAAAATAATCTTGCATTCTTTAACTGTTTCCGACGCCTCTTCAATGAGATCATCTCGTTAAAGAACGAAACGAGACTATTCTGCGCATGCGATCAAAGTTGTTTATGCATCGTCGTAACTGCGTAATCGCAGCCGTGAAGTTATTCCGCGTTTCTCGCTAATTTACAATTGTGTCGAGACTGTGCGACGCACATTGGAAATTTCACGCCGTAATTGGTCCCACATTTAAGGCCACGCGACGATTATCGCGCGTATTACGACCTCTCGGCCCACGCGTGCTTGATCTAACGATGACAAATGTATTCTGATTCTTTCGCGCAGACAACATGTTCCTGCCGCCAGTGCACGGACGGAGGTTGTTGGAATAGCCGAGGCGTTCTACGAGCACTCCGCAAAAGGCAGTCGATACGAGAACGGCACGTTCTACTTATTTCCCGCAGTAACCACCGTGGACCATGAAGAGGCCCTCCATCAAGACGTTCGCGTGGACATTCTGCCTGTCCACTCTTTTATCCCTCCCGACGAGAACAGGTGAGGAAGTGCGGCGCGAAAATCAACTGCATGAAATATCGATGCGTGACCGTCGATTGAGGCGCGAAGGGTCGGTTCGTGTGCTCGTCGAAATTAGTCGAGCGTAGCGAGAAATTGAGAATGTAAAGAAGTATCTTTTAGACTTGTGTTTTAGATTTGTGTGTGTGTGTGTGCGTATATGTGCGCGCATGTCGCTCGGATTAAATCTCTATAACGTCCTCGGTTCTTCTATTTATAATCCTTTCCCGAGTATTAATTTCTGATCCATCTTTATACCCTAATCGCACCATTGGTTTCTCAATGATGTAACCCAGCCGAGTTTTCTCTAACTAAGCCTATTAAGTAATCCCCTTTAGAAGAACACGAAGATTAACAACTGCTTGAGCGCTGGAAAGTTCGGTAAGCGACATTCGGGATTGAATCAGGGAGGCGAGGGTAGACGTAATGTGATACCGCTCCTGAATTATTGATGGTTTCGGTCCTTAAATAAAGCCTCGACCGACGCGCGTGCGTATATGCATATGCATATGTCTGTGCATGCCATGTGACGCGGATATGTTTGTGGGAATGTATATGTACGTATATATACACGTACACGTAGCGTATGGTCGCGACGAAACTACACCGCCAGCAATTTCAATCAGCGACATGGGAAATTGTTTCAGGCGCCCTGGAAGAGAATTGCACGGACTTTCAGGGCGGCACTGTCAGACACGGCCTCCTCTATGTGCCGGGACCTGCGGTCTGCAGTCTCTGCGTCTGCTATCATTCCGAGCCGATGTGGTGTCAATCCATCTACTGTACCCCACCGTATGTGAGTATCCGAGATAACGAGGGGGATACCATTCCCCGCCCTTTCCCACCTCCCTACACTAGGAAAAATGTATTGTTGCGTGAACCAAAATTTTGTTGTAACAACAAAATAATTTGGTTAAAATATGCCCAACAAAACTGTTTAGTTCCTGTCTCAAACAAATATCTTGTTTGATCACGGTTTGTTCGCATCGTAACGTAATACTTTTGTTATAGCAACCAAAAAGCTTCAACTATATGAATTTTGCTAAAAATACTATAATTTTTTCTTAATATATAAAATCTAAATTTTAGTGCACAGAAAGACAAAAAAAAATAGTATCCATTGGGCATTGTTTTAGTTTATGTAAAATAATATTTCGTTATTATGTAATTTTTATGGATAAAATAACTAAAATGCTTAATTTTTATATATGAAGTCTAAGAACCAAATCATTTGGTCCAGAGAACAAAGCAGAAAAATATATTTAGTCGAGGCAACTAAATATTTTGTTATATAAAACAAGATATTTGGTTGCTATTAAAAAGTGCTTCAACTAAACAGTTTTGTTAGAGATACTAAATTTCTTTTCCTAGTGTATCCGAAACACCTTCTTTTTAATTTGCTTCTGTGCCTTGTCGGACTTTGCATTGAGACACGCTGAGAGGGGGCGAATTTTCCGCTCGAGGAAAGACTAACGGTTCACGGGGACTTCTGAGATTCCAATTTTCACGTCTGCTTCGCGACCGATTGAATTGCCTCGCGTCATTCTACCGATAAACTGTACTTACTTTTCCAAAAGAGATCAAATTTTATATTTTAAATTAATTGATACGTTTCTCCCGACTTGAATTTCCTTCAAACACGAGGCCGATTCTCGCTTCTACCGAACGCCTATGAAAGAGTAATTATATCTTGTCGAAGTTTTCTTTTACCTTTAAGGGGATACAACTGAACGTTAATCTCACCGATAATCTCGCCGATAATGCGATGCAGTCTCAGAAAACTTTACGCGAAATCGGTGCGTGCGAGTTTCCTATTTCGCCGCTGTACCAACGCGATGCGATACATTACGCTGTGTCCATAAAGAGCACTCTCTCTTTTTAATAGACCTCATAATAGCGAGCGACGTGTACGTAATACCGCTCTATACGTGGTATTATCAGATCGGCCTACAAAACTCCATAAAGCTTTATTGAAATTCAAGCTCGCTGATAGTAGTAGTACGCGTGTAACATTCGAAAGCGCGTGTACGGTTATGTCGAAAGCGAAAATATTTATAAGTTCTCAGTGATAACAAATTTCGTTACGCTTACTTTGCAAAGCGAGCGAAACAGAGTCTCGACTAAAATGATAAACATCAAAGCGAAGCCGAGGTAGATCGTTTCTCGTTAACCATCTTAATCCGGAACTTAGTAGACTTACAAAATGACTTCACAAAGCTGAAAATTGTAAAAATTGGAACAAACGATCTCCCTCGACACGTTCGATGATGAGAAATTGACCGCACATTCCTCGGAGAATCCAACTTGAGAATCAAGATGAGTTACAGGATTTTCTGTGTCACGCGGATCCCGTTCAATTTTACACAAAAGTCCGAACTGAAAAAAAAAGAACAAAGAAAATCGAACATCGAGCGAACAATATGTGATACGCGTATTTCGAAGCGGCATGTGTCTCTAAACGGAACTTGTGTTTTATCACATATACGACGTCGTATGTCATTTCAATAGACGTCCGTCTGAACATTATATAAGATACTGAGATATTCTCAGTATATTCTCGGAATAACGTGTTAACGAGAGATGAATGACAACAACGGCGATAACGCATTTATCTGCTTTGATATATCCGAATGTGTCTTCTTTTCGTTGCGATATGATATGAACGGTGCTGCGAGCCCGAAGTACAAACTTCCTCCCGGAGCTTTTCGCTGATTTTTGTTCTCTTCTTTTTTATTATTCCGGGATCGGCAGTTACCACTTCTCGCACGAGGAGAAACGAGAGTCGAGGAACTCGCGGAAAGGATGAGATTACGGGCTTTCGTGAGAAAACTTGATCGCGAGCTACCGTTGTTATATAGCAGCGACTTTTTATTTCCCATATCGATTTTTTTCTCTCACGGTTATTCAGCTTCGCGTTAAAATTCTATCGTGGCAGAATCTCCATTTCAAACTAACGAGAGAATTATTTTTGTCGTTAATGCATGTGACATTCATTTTTGTCGTTAATCCGGAAACACAGAGCAGTACAAGAAGGATTTACCGGGCTTTGATAGGAAAAATGCAAATTTTTTGAAAGCATATCGGACGGACACATTAAGCCAACATATGTCGACAGTGTGATATATAATTTATGGAATCTATTAAAATTTACTGACTGATGAGAACAGTATGTTTTCACTGCGCACATATATTTAATTGTCCTTTGTAATTAAGACAAAATTAAACGACACTCTTATCTCGTTCACGCATTCAAAGCCAAAAAGGTCGTGCACGTGCTTTCGGCTCAGACACATGCATGATTCAGCCCTTTGACAACTTTCGCGATCGATCGGAATGATCGACGAATATGTAAAAAATATGTCAACTGGGAAAAAAGCCGCGCGACCGAGCGTGTCCCGCGTTTGAGCGCGGCGCTCGCTAGAAATGCGGCAGTGACACTACGGCGGCAAACGAGAGCGCGAAACCGATTTTAACGAGCCGATTTAACGAGCGCATCTCGAGCTGATTGCGAGCATAGCCGGGATTAATATCGGCGAGAATATTTTGCAGAGCGGCGCACGGGCCAATTACGACGATATTTGCGCGACGGTGAACATGCGAATTTCCGTTCTGCACTCGCGTGCGGAGGATGATTGTAACTGGTGGCGTGGGCAGAGCGGACAGAGAGAGAAAAATAGACAGAGACAAGGAAAAAGAGAGAAAAAGAGAGAGAGAGAGAGAGAGAGAGAGAGAGAGAGGGAGGGAGGAAGAGAGAGAGACGTGCATGAAATCGCTTCGAAATAACGTTTCGTTTCTGACTGTTAGCATGTACAGAACTCTCGCTGGCGTAGAAGAAACGGAAATGATACGAGGACGACGTCATCGTTGTTGTTTTGTCGCTACAGTATCAATGTCCATGGCGAACTGCATCTTTCTCAAAAGTACATCCCCCTGACGATCCGTCCGTCTGAGCTTTAATGCGCAAATATTAGACATGCCGTAATAAAAAGCAGAGCTTGCTCTGCTTCCGGACAAACCTCTCCCTCCGCTCGACTCCCGCGTCGTTCTGCCGTCCCTTTGAAAGCCTCGCTAAAGCAAAGCGATCGGCTCGCATTTCCTTTCTCGTCGAAACGCGCGCCGATATTCCGCAGCGCGACGTGTAATCAACTAATGCGGAATTCCGCTCGATCCTTGCGGCACTCGAATCGATAAGCCACTCGCCGACGCAAGGACACGTGCGGCCGTCGTGCGTATGCAACCATAAAAAGCGGCTCTTCGATAGAACGGCGCGCGGTGACACACATCAATATCGTGCGGATTATATAATATATTCGCGTCTTGCAATATATATATATATATTTAACTTTAGACACGATCGCGCTCTTCAGAACGGGGTAGTTAATACCGGCATTGTGACGGGCATCCGCGAGCGCGACGACGTACGTCTGGCTCTTCTACGTTTTTAAGAGAACCGAGGAAAATTAAACTGCGGCGTCTCATCCCCTCTCTCGAGGAGGATTATATGCAGGATATCTTACGAGATAATACCAAGTCTCATCACGGAGAAGAAAAGGAAGAACGTGAAAAATTATATCCAATTTCCAGAAGAAAAATTCAATCGGGAAGCGGCCGCTCGAAAGATCACGTTCTCTTTCGCGCAGATGCTACCCTCGCGACACGTGCGTGTTTGCTCCTGAGGAAGCGATGCGTGTGTATTTCTGAACGTTTCGCCATTACACAAACGTCTCGACGCACGGAAATTTCTCGGGGCAACCGCCAGGCAAACGTGCGTGGTCTAAAGGAGAATCGACGGAAGGAGCGACTCGGTACATTTCGTACGCTCGAGGAAATTAAATTCACAAGTCGCGTCCTCCGGTATCTCTTTCTCCTTCGCGTGCGCTCTGTGAGCGCGCCAACGATGCCGCGAGTGTTTCGTCGAGCTTCGCGATTTTCCACCACGCGTCGTTTATTATTACGAAATGTCGTCGACGTCACGGCCATCGTCGTCGTACGCCAGGAATTAAGTCCACGAACGGCTTTTCCTCCCCGGAAGCTTGCGGCTTCTCCACCGCAGCGTTTTAGCGTTCGCCCGCGCTCTCCATCGTATTTTTTAATTACCGGCGAGAGCTCGGCGAAAATTTTCATTCTGCGCGACGAAGCACATGTCGTTTGCCGGTGGAAAGCAAGAAGCGCAAAAAGAGGAAGGAAGGGTAAGGAAGGAAATGAAAGTGGTCTGACCTTACTTTTCGGCGCGGTCTCGCCAAGTAAATCGCATCACCCCCGCGACCTTGCCACTCGCACAACACTCATCGTTGTGGAACTGCGCTTTAATTACGTTCCTTCTATAACCGCCGATTAAAATCAATGTCGCAGTCACGCGCCGCCGCCCAAGTGGCGCTACAAGTTCCGCGCCGTGTATTATATACTTAATGACCGCCGTGCCGCTAATAAGCGCGCGATCGACTTTGCATAGTTCGCGAGAATGAACCGCTAGAAACGTATTACACCGATACACAGTTACACGTTGGCAGACGTTAATACCCGTGACGGTAGGCATGCGGGCGTGTAGACGTGACGCGGCTCGGAATTAATACCCTCATCAATTCGCGAAAACGCGATTTTCGCGAAAGTAATTCGCTCGTTCGTCTCCATCACCGCGAGCGGTACGTCCTCACTCACGGCTGCGTAGGTCGCTAAAAATTCTCTCACTAAGAGTATGAAAAAACGTGAAGAGCGATATAAATGTTCGCATTAATGCGCAGTAACATCGCATTCCCAATGTGCCAACAAATTGCATTTCCGTCCACGATTGAGGGCCCATATTTATCTCACGGTTTTTTTTCTACGATTAGAATTCGTGCGATATCCTCGAAAAGCGAGCGCTCCCTTAATGCATTTCGATCAACGCTTACTCAACTGTGCGCGGATTCTTTATTTAATTATCTCTCAGGCGCGAGAAGCGGCGAAGTATCTTTTGTGTAATTAGGCGCTAATGCGATTACTCTGAGGCAGTTAATAATCGCTTTATTAAACCCTACCTTCCGTCCACCCTTCCTCCTCCGCTCCTCTCTCCGGTGTGACCTTACAAGTGCCTTACAACGAAGGAGAGTCCGATATAACGAGATTTCTTCCGAGAACCGGATTTTCTGCGCGTGGTGTCAAAACAACAACACACTACCACCACCACACAACGTTAAATACGTCCAGCATTCCGAGGGACGCGCGAATGACCGTGCAACTTTTTGTTCTCGTGCGCGTACGGCCACGTATATCATGTACGTGCACGTAACGTGATTAACTCGCGAGAGAATCGTTACGCCATCCGTGCACCCTCTCATTTCTTTTCTCCCTTCTCTCCGCACGGAGACGCGACGTGACGCAAAAATAAAACCCCGGCCGGCCGATCCCGCGTATTATGTAGGGCAGTAGGACCCGAGCCGCGATTTGCACGCGACGAGTTTTATGCTAATTCCCGCGTGCAATTACAATATCGTTCGCAGCGCTTACGTGGGATCTCCCGCTGCGCCCGCGTACGCGATTGCGTGCGCGACATTTCACGGCGCGTGCGAACCCGAACACGACATTCTGGCGGCCCGGCTCATTAGACCGGCAGCGGTTCGTAAATGCATATATACCGTATATTACCGTTGCATGTACGCGCCGCGTAGGTGCTTTCGAATAAACATTGAACGGTTCGCAACACCGAAGGCGATGGCACGTTTATATTTGTGTTATCGAGGCCCTTGGGCGTTACGGTATTTTCAATTCTCCGGCGCTCAAGGACTCTTCATATGTGTGGATGTGCGTACGCTGCGTTAAATTTTCAAAGATAATAGATATAAAAGAAAGATCGAAACGTATTAAATGTCGCATAGCTCGCGGAATCCGCGAAAATCGCGAGGATTGACAGTTCGCGACAGCGAGCGAGTCGTCGTAATTACCGTCGTAAACGACGAAAAGCTTTTAATATCCGACTCGTCAGCGGACCAGTCTTAAACTACTCGTTCGTGTTCTTAATAACGACGAATCTTCCTCGCGCAAATGCGATTATCCTCCGCTAATCGCCTTTCTCGAATTCGTCGGCAGATGCGCGCTCGTCGAATTACTTTTACTCCGCGTTGCGAGAAATGCGGGAATGTCGAAGAGGAATATTCGAGTTCGTGCCGCCGAGTTTCAGCGTAAAGTCGTTCCGATATTAATACATAATTCCACGTCTTACATTCCGCGCTACGCGATGTTAATCCTTTTCTCTTTATGAAAAAAAGGGAGCAAGAGAAAAAATAATCTTTAAAAGTAACGAGCTCAATACGATAAAAAAAAGAGGTGTACGCCACGCGTGAATAACGAAGCTCGACTGGCTCGTTGATTTATACACGAGCGATCGTTTTAATTATCGCCACACGGTGACAGATATGTGCAATTTCGCGTACCGTGTGTCGTAATTGGACGCGCGAAAAGGATCGAGAGGGAGAAGAGGAAGGAAGCGATGACACAGTCGGGTTAAAAGAAGAGGCGATTCAATAACGGTGCGTCGAACGGGCTGGTGATAATTGACGGCAAAGGAAATTCATTACGCCACGAACGAAATTAAATGGCCAGTTGCGAGCGCGCGATCGAGGCACGCTCCGCCGGCTGCGACCTCACGGAGGCAGCTTTTATGCGCATTTTGCGTCTCATGCACGTCGTTTCGATGAGATGCAAAATTTACGGGGTCCTTTAAAGCCTCCCATTGGAATTACGAGTCCTTGTTCCGTCACACGTGAACGTTAACGTCAGATTGTAGCCCTTTGAGTGGCGTTCCTACGCGAAACAGGCCGGAAATATTTTACAATGTTTAACGATACCCAATAAAGGCGAATGTTCGCTTTTATGAATATTTCAGAACATTTGACTTTCACAAAAGACTGTCGGTCCCTTTTCTACGCGAGCGAAATTCTTGATGTAACGAAAAAATGAACTTGACGGATTCTCGTATCTCGCTGGATTACAAATTTACCAAAGAAAAAAAAAAAGAGCGTTGACTCTTTTCCTGCCGCGAGCTGCGAGAAATATACGCACCTATCTTCGGTGTCTCGCGGCATCGGATGTCCGTCGCAGCGGAAAAGCGTCTGAAGTATCGAGGACACTTTTCGTTCTCTTCACAAGATCGAGGTCGTTTCACACTGTACTCCGCGATTCTTTCGCAGAAATGCAAAAAGTTCCGCGTGGGCGAGCGCTGCTGCGAGTTCGAGTGCTTGGACGAGGCAAGCGACGACAACGGTCCGGACATATACGACGCGGCAGGATCGTCGAGGAGCCAGCATCAGAGTGTTCTCTATCTACTCGGCCTGGTCATGCTGCTGATAGTGCCCTAGTTACGACCGGATGGGTCCCGCGATCATCGTCGCCGCAGGCCTCACGCTCGTCGAAGGAATTTGCCTGTTAACGATATTAGGTTACCCGACGAGGAAAACGACGACGATGACGACGACGACGACGACGACGACGAGAGAATTGCGCACGAGGAACACCGCAAACAGGTTTGGCTCATGTCGCGAATACACGATGTTTTAACCAACAGCACGTTTGTCACCTATCGCAATTAAGTCGTTTTCCTTTTGGAAAGACACGAGTTGAGTAAAGCAAGAACCGCTCCCCTAATTCATTTCGACCAGGTCAAGAAACGATCGAGCGATTTTCGCGAAAAAAATCATCGGATAAAAGACGAATAACCCAATCTATATTTTGGAGGTATTTGAGAGAGGAAATAATATTTTATCTCTCCCTTAAATGCAAACACACGTTAAACGTAACGTAATTGTTACTTTTAATTCTATTGTTTCAATTATTATTTTACCGCATTTTGTCATGTGAACATATTAATTGAGAAAGAGAGAGAGAGAGAGAGAGAGAGAGAGAGGGAAAAGAGAAAAAAGAGTGAGGTCCATATCTTCTCGACTTTCCCTCGGGAAATTTAAAAATCCACAGACTTCGCGTCGAGTTTCGAATGGACGCACGAACGGGAGAGCTTTTTATTTCCGGAATTTTATCCGCTTCCTTTCGAAGCGCGCATTTTCTCGCATTTTCTCCCTCGTCAAATCCGACACGATAACATTCATCAGACGCGGATCCGATGTCGAATTTTTAAATTCCGCACTCACAACCAAACGTCAGGGAATGACGCCGGCAGCTCTTCTGGCCTAATTCGAATATACTCAGATGTCAGCCACTGTCAGAAGGCGTACTGCACTCGATCGCGTTCCAGAACAGGATGCTGCAGTCGTTCGTTGCCGGCGAAGAGCGCGAGGACTCGCGCGCGTGATCAGATGTCATCGCGCGAATCGACTCGATCGGCTCTCGACTTAACTACTACCAATTTTCAAGGGCAATCGTAATCAGTGGTACATCGTGAGTCGGTGATAAAACTCGGGATATCGATATTCCTCAAGATCTTCGTTCTCAATAACACTCGCGCTGGACAGACAATTGCAGACTGAAAACCCGATTGAGACACTCGCGCGGTTTCGTGCGTATGTGTGTGTGTGTGTGTGTGTGTGTGTGTGTGTGTGTGTGTGTGTGTGTGTGTGTGTGTGTGTGTGTGTGTGTGTGTGTGTGTGTGTGTGTGTGTGTGTGTGTGTGTGTGTGTGTGTATGTGCTTGTGCGGACGCATGTGTGAATAGTCGCATCGGCAGAAATTTTTATTTTTCCATTGTCCAATAAGCGATAACGAACGTGACAGGCAGATTAGCGCGCGGGGGGCGAGTCTTCTGACGACCAGTGACGGAAAGGTATACGTGCGTGTGTGTAATATCTTTTTATTAACGAGATTCGTTTCGATCTCTCTAGTTGAAAAATAATAATTTACTGTTCGTTCGATCGTTCGGTCATTCGTTCATTCGTTCGTTTGTTCGTTCGTTTGCTTCACTTTGCCGAACTCGCCGGTGAACGAGCAACTTTTCAAAGACCGGTGTTCCCGTCGCACGTCTGTGACGATAATAAATCGGTTATAAAATCGCAAATTGTGCAACGACGTAACGTCCGTTGCCTCGGTTTTGTTCTCATTCGCTTTGCGATCTTCGGTATTTTCAATTTTCGATGAGTTTCTCTCGATGATCAGCGGATGCTTATATGTTATCTCGCACGCACGCCTGGCGGGAAAAAGCGATTCGTGACGAAAAGTGAATCACGTCGGGATCACTTCGTCGAGTAATGGCCCGTTTGCACTACGCGATTTCGTTAAAATGTCGTTCGCGATACTCGCTGTAAAATCCGTCCTCCGCCGTATGCTGGAAAATGCGTTGTATCGTAAAACGTTGCGACGTTACATTTATAACGGCGGAAATGCGGCAGGAGACGCAAAGCTACAAATGATTCGCGATTTTTACGCGAATCGATCTCGGACGATATTGCTGAGAAAATATGCTAAAAGAATCCATCCATTTGTCTGTAACGGCCTGTACATTTCTCTTTAAAACACAGGGATTCCCAAATTCTTTCGCGTAATATTTACATACCTTAATATTTACGAGAGATCCTATTAGCAGAAAAAGATTCCAGTCCATAATTAAGAAAAAAATTAGATGAGTTGTTATTTTACAACCGTGAAGTTTTCAATATTGGTTATATTAAAAATTAGCGAGGTACAAAGGAGCGTTTGCGCAAAGTTGTCTTGCGCAAACTAAAAAAAAGAAGGATGATGTTATATCGTATATTTGCGCGCGCGCGCGCGCGCGTTAAAGAAAATCTCAAAGCTTAATTTCTAAAGCGCTTCGACATTTTTCGTGATTCTTCTTAAAGCAAAATAAACTCCGAATTATAGCCAAAGAATCCGTCGATAAAAATAGCTCAAGTCTAGATTATCCAGCGTAAACTTTCCGAAAGAGACTTTATATAAACTCCTATATTCGTATACTCGAAAAGCGAGAAGCGAAGAGAAAGAGAGAGAGAGAGAGAGAGGAAGGGAGAGAATGCGTCAAAGGTGAAAGATGAATTTTCCTGTGAGAATATTCCATCGTCGAGCTTGAAAGTTTTATCATGCCGTCGGTTTGGGAACCTCTGCATCAACATATCATTCTCATACTATGAACGTAGATAATACAGAAAGAAAAAGAGGGAAAAGGATATTTCGCTGCACTTATCGCGGTTTTCGTCAAGCTGGCGAAAGACACCGTATCATCAGATAAACAGCTCACCCGCGATTGTTCGTATTACGCGCTTCACACTTTTGAGCGAATAAGTTATTTTCCTCGCAGTGCATCGACTGTGAAATATCCTTTCACAATCCCACGTATTCTTCTTTATTTTTGATCGCGATATTTTCTACACGTATATTTAGAAGCGCGATTAACGCGACGTGCTGGAAATATATATATACTCGAGCTATATTTTCATACGATACGAAATTTAGTTAATATAACATAATGATTCTACGCACTGGTTGCACATGCGCGCGACAATACGTTACACATTGCGTGTTGAAATAGATGTGTAAACGAAAGTCGTAATGCCATTAGCGATAGTTCCTAATGCTCTCTTTCCTCCCCCCCCCCTCTCTCTCTCTCTCTCTCTCTCTCTCTCTCTCTCTGTTTCTCTTTCGTTTGTAAGAACTATCATTTGTGCAATCATATCTCGTGAATGAAATCTCTTTCTCTAGAATTTCTCTGTCCATTCTTCTCTCTGAAATTCAGTCCCCGAGGCTCCAGTTTAATCGATCGTTTCGTGTATTTGTTATCTCAATTTAAACTGCTCAGTGTTCTCTCGTGACGCAAACATTCCCGGATTAAACTCCGGAAGGGTTCAAGCGTCCAAGAAACCGAGGGACAAACATAGGGGTCGGTCTGATTCGAAGCGGAACTTCAGCCAGTGCATTACGCGAGAGGCGATTTCAGAGCTTTATCTTAACGAGCGCTTATCGAGCACGGCGATATGCGTGAGCGGGCACAAAATGGCAGGGAGATATGTATGTCGCTATTTACAAATAGAGTTTTCATAAGGAGGATTAGCAGCCGCGTGGAACCAATTTACATAATCTTACGTGTGTATACATGCGATGACGCGCCAGTCGCGCGCCAACTTGCGCCAAATCGTTAAGTCGTTAATAGCGTGACGCGTTAACGGAGCGAGCCGAGAGAGAATAAAGTTTCAAGTAACTTTGGAATTAGTTCGTTAACAGACAGACTGCGCAATGTGCATTTTAACGAGTTTTCTGATTATCGAATTTTATGTGACGATTGATTGATAAGTCAGTCCTGCAAAATTTCTATCTCGCACGTGTTTAATATCTTTCGTTTCCTTTCATTATTACGTAATCCAGTTCGATGGAAATGAATAAAAGGTGCTGTTTGACCTGCAAATAAAAAAACATGACACTTTGTGCGGACGCGCGAGGTAAAGCGCCCTTCTGCCCTTCTGTCTGTTTTACAGACAGATTACAGGACATTTCGGTTGCGTATTCCCCGCGTTCCAATTGGCAGTTCACACGTCAATTAGTCTATCGCTCGTGTGACATTTCAAAGCAGCAATAATTGCCATAAGCAGCTGAATTATGTCACACAATAACAGATCGATTAATTGTGATTGCGGTCGTTTCGGCAATACCGCGCGACTAATTAAACCGAGGCGTGAATTATTAACGCGAAGGGTTTAATGGCTAAAATAATCCGGCAATCAGTCGCAGATGAGAGTCGACGTGGGTCTTATATTTAGAGGCTTCCCGTGTCACGGGTTTCTCCTGTTACTCGCCACCGTCGCGTATTGCATTTCCTACAGAAGCGCCGTAACGACGCGTTTCGCTTTTCTATTTTAAATTTTACGCAACGCGCCGCGGAGCATTTGTTTGATCGTTATCCGCGTCCGTTCGTTCCCGAGCGTGTTTCGAACTATAAACCGGACGACTCTTTCTCTCTTTTCCTCACAACGAGAGAATTTTATGTGGCTTAGCAGGGTTAATTATACCACGGCTATTAATTGTGTCTCGTCGTTTTGCAAAAACGACACTGCAGTATGCGCGTGAGCATGCGCGCATAATACGGTAAAATAAATTTGCGACAAAGCGTCTGAAAAATGGTCGATGGGAGATTCCGTGAAATATACTCCGATTTGTTCGGCGCGTTTGTTTAAACAGCGATGGGAAGCGAGTCGCACGATTTATCGAATATCGTATTTCGATTTTCGATTAATTTCACGATTCCACTTAGTTCTGTAAGGATTTGCCGGTGATATTACAGTAACACGTGTGTGAAATGTGATATTTATAAGTGTGCGCCATATACGTAGTACGCGCGACACGTGTTAAGCCACTGGGAATTGAAACTCGTATGAAAATTTTCCGCGACTATATGCTCGATCCCCTTTTTAAGTTTCCGAAGAAATTACGCATTTTATTAATGCGGCATGAGTATTGCGTAGTGGGTTTCTTTCCGCACTCGCTGAAATTGCGGATGACCGCAACGTCCGACACGAAAGGAAGGAGAAAAATATTTTTTAATTTAGCCAAGTTACTAATTATACGCTGCTCATTCGTTGCTCTATACTTTTCCGACAACAACTCCTTGAACGTTTCAATATCAAATCTGTATGCGTTACCATTTCAAGGGCGTCAGGACCAAAACTATTCCATTAAGTGTTTTGCGCTTGCGCTACAGTAGGATAAAAATTGTCCCAACGTATATTTTTATCCTGGCACTGTTCTGCGGTCGATATTAAAAGAACTAAAAACTCGAGGAAATTGGATCTGTTCCTCTTTAAAAATGCTATTGTGTATTTGGGGAAAAATAAAAGTCAGCTTGGGAAACTCCACGGAAGACAATGCGTCCTCAATAAAGTAGGATCGGCGCGTGCATGTGTTACACCGCATTCGTTTCATTTCTTTTTCTTTTTAATGTTGTGCTACTAATTGAATTCACGTGATTACTTAATACGCCATGATTTGAAGTAAGAATGATCTCTCTCTCTCTTATAGTTTCGAATCTCTCTTTCTTATAGTACGAAATACACAGTAATTGGTATTTTACAGTAATTGGGTTCGAACAATTGGCAACAGCTTTTCATCATTAAATTTTGCTTCAACTTGTATATCGATGTCGATTTTCTATATATGAGAATTCAAGGGAAAACTAAATTGCTCTCGAATCAATATTATTATTATTATTATTATTATTATTATTATTATTTTCAACAGAAAAATGATCCGCGAGAAACAAGCTTTCTCGACTGATTTTCCGACATAGAAACTTCAAAACGGTACTAATACCGACACCGACGCAACAAATCCGAGCGACATGGGGCCATACGTATATAATAGTGTAATGTATACGAATGTTTTCGCCTTTGTCGATGGAGAAAAGTAAATGAGAACAACATGGTGCTAAGTCATTCCTCGTTAAGAGGAACGACGTCGTACATTACTATGAACACTCGCGAATTTCCCGTATCGCGTACACATTGTTCACGCGCGTATGCTTGCCTGTGATATACTTTTAACGGCGCTTGATTGCTATTACACCGCCCTTGGATCGTTAATCGCTTCGCGAATCTCAAGGGCTTCGATTGGACGACGTTGTACGAATTTTGCACGTACTTTCTACTAGGGAAATTCTCTTAGTAAAAAAATAAAGAGGAATATAGGAATGGTTCTTAGTTTCTGAGTGATCGTTTACGGATTATGAGACGTTACACAGCTTGTTTTAATTTAAATAGAGACTTGCAGACTTTCTCAGATTCCTTTTTATTTTCTTGCTAATTTGAAGATCGAAACGTTTGAGAATTGAAATTTAACCTTCTGTGGACCGATTTCACAGAATTTAACCAACTCGTCATCACTTCTTTAAACGATAGAAATTTACGTCAAAAGCTATGAAGGTTAATTACAATTGTATAAGAATGACGGTGCTGATAATAATGGTTATGATTATAATTAATAATTTTATCGATTAGTTGCATAAGACGAATACTCCGAGGAGACATTTAATATTTAAAAATAGCTTCGATCCAGCGATTCATATTCATCGACTCATGTTTGAATTGTAAATATTCGTCGCGCGGATTTTGTGCAAAAATCAAGCGGAGCTCGATGACGGCATTACCAGAGCCGAGCCGCTAGAGCGGAGATAACAGAAGAGAGTATCCGAGATTAAGTTGCGCTAGAACTTAAGTATGACACACCCGTTTGGTATATGAGATACCTGACTCGAGTACGATCCAATTTCTAACATAATTCTGATCTTTCCGAAAGTTTTGCCAGAGAGATATTTTACTAGACGCCCCGAAGTATGCAAGCTAAGACACATTTACAGAGAATCTACCGAAAATATATAACAACACAAGTTTCCTCAATATCTCCATCCTGAGTAGGGACGTTTGAAGCTTAGAGAGGCCGTATCCGGAGCAGGTACCTCAAGTGACAACTCGGAGCGAATTTATTTGGTGAATTTAATTGTCCCATCTCGACGGGAAGAAGTGATATCCTCGTCGGTTGATGGAAAGCGCCCAAATACGCGCTTTCCTTTTGCGCCTCGCCATTGTACTTTTCCTCACCTCTCTCCTCTCTACTCGACCCAGCCCAGCGGAGAGAATATTGAATTTATTAATCGACCAATTTCTCTAAGCTTACATTTTAAACTAATGTTTACAAAAAGAAAGGAAGATACTATATATATATAGTATCTTCCTTTTATATATATATATATATATATATAATATAACCTATTTCAATGTAAATACCTAGACGATAGCTTTAATATTACTACAATACGTAATTACTCTCGATCGTAATTATATCATTTAATGATCAAGGGGCCTTTTATGTATGATGAGAGAACGATCGTTCGGAATTCACGAAATATTACAAGGTTACAATAAAAGTTTATTTCAAACAATATCCAGAATATCGATAAGCCCGATATATACAATAAGAGTCCCTGGCTTGAATCTTCCCTTGATTCCTAGACCGACGGGATCGGTACGTCGTACCCGACGTCTTTCGTAGATGTAATCGATAGCGTAATGATAAGGATACGCGTAATGATAAGGCGAAAGTAAGAATTGGGATACCATGAAGAATGTTATAGAACAATAAAGTTTATTCACATGACCTTGCCACCAATGAATATATTCACATGTAAACTACGTTCGCTCGTGTCTTCACAGAATATATTTGTGCGTCTGTGTATGTGTGTGACGTGGGCGTGAGAGGTTTATTGACGGGGTATCCGAGTGTGAAATTTAGAGCACCCGATAGCTAGCTCGTCGTCGTGCAAGATTGCTTAATGACACGACGCGAGTGTTGTCACACGTTATAACTCTCTAATCCTTCTTCCAAATGGTGTCGTACAGATCCGTACGTCGTTGACTGAACGTCGGAATTTGCGATCTGACCTCATCCACGATTTTCAAATCTGCGATAAACAGTTATTTCGACATACATAATTCAAAGAACGTAAAGATTATCACATGGTTGATTTTTATGACGAAATTTTCACAGATACATTAATTGTAGAATATTCAAACATGGAATTGTTAATTGAAGAGAGTTCCTCTTTAATTAAAGACATTTTCGCAATTAATTCAGAATATATTGATAAATTTCTTACGATTGCGTATCCATCGATGATGAGTTTCGTAGCAACTTCAGTAAGTATTCGATAACTGGGAATTCCTTATTATTCTAGCAGAGTTTTTGAAGAAAACTCACCTATTTCATTTACCAGCATGTCCTCGGAGTCGTCCAGTTCGTTAAGTATTTCTCCCCAAGGATTTGTTAACTGAGTATGTCCCCAAGCGACGTATCCGGGCGGCGAGCCACGTGCCGGCGAAACGCAGGCTACGTATAATTGATTGTCGTTTGCTCTGGAACGCTGCAGTAACGACCAATGCAACGGGCCAGTGGTCATGTTGAATGCTCCGGGGTAAATCAACATTTGGCAGCCTGATATCACAAGACGAGATTTAGAGTGACAGTTTACAGCAGTGACGATCAGTCGACGGCTCCATTGTGCAAGTATTCGTTTCAGTCGAGACAGGTAGGTGGGTTGGAATAAATGGTAGAAAAACGAGGCAAACGTGAAGTATACTTTGGATGACACATAATTCGCAGCAGAACGCGAAACGGAATTCACTATTTATTAAATATAAAAAGAATCTTACAAAAATTATATATGTGTATGTATAATATAAAATAAAATAAAATAAATTTGTATATAAAAATACACATAAAATTATATATTTATATAAAAATCTGCGTAGCAAATTACAAGTGGAATGTTGCTTCGAAATCTCTGTTGCGAGTCATGAGGCGTTTACAACTCAGAGCTATATTCAATGAAGCTGCCAACAGCTACTTATATATAATTACATATTTCTCTTGAATATCACGTTAATTTATTATATCAGTTGAAACATGAAACATAATTATTTCGTTTCAAAAACAACCAAAGCACGTGGAGGAGCATTAAAACGTAATGTCAATAATGCTAGAAATGCGTTAAATTTTATCTCGTTATTTTCACAGAAATATCATATCAAGCTTTATTAATATCCTCTCTGTGTGCAATATCGATTTACCTCTATTCCTATAAAGTCGCGCCATTTCCTCGAATCTGATGTCATAGCAAATGCCGATGCCGATTTTGCAACCTCTTGCCTCAAAGGTTGTCAAGGAATTCCCGAACGACAGCGAATCGCTCTCCCGGAAAGTGATTTTCCCTTTAATGTCGATGTCGAACAAATGTATCTATAAGCAAGAAAGTACTTTATAAAACTATTTTATGCGATAGCGTTTATCCCATATATTTGAGAAATTCTCTACAAGACCTTTGTACTTTTGCAGAAAATTCTTTCATGTTCCCTTATATTTGATTCGAAAGTAAGATTATGTTCTTCGTAACCAAAATTCTATCAATGTAAAATCTTTATTAATTTATTAATTTCGATATTAAAAATGAGACGTTATTGTCATGTACTATTCCTATTAAAATTGCACATGGAATTCGTTAATTATCCGAAAGCTGTCAGTATCTTGTCGTTGCTGGAAACGAGATTTATTTTAAAATCGCGAAAGAGGAAGCTGTGTAGCGAGGAAAAACGACCATTCGGAAGATATTCTGGGTGCCGATAATTTTACCTTTCTGTATTTCGCCACGAGTTTTCCATCGGGCCCCCATACGGTGCAAGTGTTATACAACTTATCATCCTCTCGCTCCGGTATTGTTCCGGCGATCACGTAAATGCTGTTCCTCCTCGCCGCTTCGGATAAAGCCAAGCTCGTCTCGCCGTTCGGGATACTCTCAGCATATTTCGCAAAGTGAGCTATTTGTTTATTCACGTCGACATTATCACGTAGCGTAACGAGAGGGGTGACGGGTTAAAGATGTGAACATGCGCACACACGTAAGATTATTCGATTATGCGCGAAATAGAAGACAACGAGATCCGGAAAGTGCAGCGAAAAGAGACCCGGCTTAACCTTGTTCTATCTAGCAACTTTTCTTTACGCATTCTAAACTTAGAACGGAACAAATAGAAACGATATAGACCGAAATAAATTATTCTCGAGCAAACTCAGGACAGAAAAAGAAACAGTTTCTTTTATACTGTAACTAGTGTACTGTAAGTATAGATATAGGAGAAACGAATCGCGCGCGCCTGACCAATCGCAAGCCGTGTCGCCCGATTTCGAATCATCGAATCACGTACTTTGATTTTAAATTCGTTACGCGTAAGAATACCGACGATCAGACACCATACAACATACCGACAACATACAGTACTAAGGACATCTGCAAAAGCAACGTGAGGTACTCATTTATCCATTTGTATTTTTATCTGCGTAATTATTCGGAGATCCTCCGCCGATCTATATCGTGTTTCGATTACTGTTAGGTGGATGTTTATGCCATATGGCGGATTTTTCGTCGGACAATTACATGTTCCATATGGCGAGTTGAAGCATTCGGGCAACGCCACGATATCGGCCTGTTCTTTTTTAGCAGACTCGATGAATGAGACAGCTCGCGCGACGTTCGCTGCCTTATTGTCGCTGACTGCCAGCTGCACCAAGGCTAAACGCAGCGCTGGAAGTATTGCAGGTTCGATAGTCATGTTAGTTCACGGATACAATCGCATTCTTTTAGCTTTTTACAATACGCGCGATCGTTATTAAGAAAGAAAACGATTCGTAATTCTTCGAGCCAATCTACATATATAGTTGTTAATTGTATTTCATGCACTTGAATTTTTGCATTTGAAAAATTCCTTATTGTTACTCGCAGAAAGCGTTGGCATAATTTATCTCATAAAACTTGGAGTTTCCTGCATAAAAAAAATACTGGATTCTGTTATTAAAATTAATATTTTCATATTATTGATAAAACTGCAATTTATATTTTACTTTCTAACTTTCGATCGCGCTCTTGCTCGCTTTTAAACATTTGTTTGTACATTTACTTCACTTTATGTGCACAAAGTGCAACGAAACTGAACAGATATATGATCTAAAAAATGAGGAATATTTTCCAATAGAAAATATTTCCTTATTTTTATGTGTATCGCTAAGAATTAGTTACTTTTAATTGGCAGTGTAGTGTGATAATCTAATTATAGTGATTAACATGCAAACAATCCACTACTAAACATTCCATCACTAAAATATCAGAATCAGTCCACCGGACACTTGTTAGCATCGTCTGATTCAGTGATAAATAAAGTTATGTTCTGCGGCGTTCTATCAAAAGTCGCACGAAAAAGACTCATGATTCCCGTATTTCACATTTCGCAAAAAAAGAAAAAGAATAATAATCGTGCACATACTTGACATTTTTCTTATTCCACGTTGCACAACGTTCGCACTCAGCATGATACTTAGGTTAAGTTTCATAGCATTTGATGACGTAAGAAAACCGCGAATATTATCGGTCGTATGAAAATGAGATCATTCATATAAAGAATTTTATTCTTAATACATATACGACGCTACATTTAATAATTTTCATTTGGGTTGAAGCGAGAAAGACGTAGAAAAGACATAATTGGAAAAATAAGTTTTATTAAAAAGAGATACAAATAATATCATATAAGATGTTGACTGCGAAACATAAAGCATATCGCAACTTATATATATATTATCGTCTACTGGACGATCGAGATCTTCTGTGCTTCTTGGATTTTCTCCTGTCAGGAGATTCAGAGTATTTTGATCTTTTATCCTTTCTCCGTTCTCGTTCCTTATCTCTCTCTTTGTGCTTCTTGGACTTTTTAACCTTTTTTGCTCTATATGTATCGCTACTACTGGAACTCCTTCGTTTTTTACTTTTTCTCTTGCTGCCATTATCGCTGTCACTGTCAGATGTGTCTTTTCGTCGATTCTTTGATGTTTTGCTTGATTTCTTTGATTTACATCTATCTTCGTCCACTTTACGCTTTTTTGTCTTGTCAGATATATCAGAATCACCGCTATGAGATGCTGGTGATGCAGATTTCCTCTTACTTGTACCCTCTTTACTTTTATATTCCTCATATTTAGTGGCATCTAAAATTAATTTCGTCAAATACTGAAAGCAAAACTTCAACTTTATGCAATCATGATAACATAGGGACTTTTAAATGGTATTGAGTATAAATTATTTATTATTTAAATAGTTTCTAAGATCTTCAAATCTATAAATTATAATTAGCCCAATCCTTATTTATTAATTTATCTGTAAACTAGAGATGTGCGAATCAAGAATTTTTATGTCGAATAGAATCGAATCAAATCTCATTTTTTTAATTCGAATTCGAATCAAATCATTAAAAAATTTAACATGACTATGCACATAATGATGGAAGGTTTTAATATGAAAGGGGATATTGATATTGTAATATCATCTTAAAGTAAAATATATATTTAAATATTTAAAGTAATTTATAATTAAGTTATTAATTATAAGTTAAGTTAATTACAAGTTAAGGGTTCAAACATACAGGCCAAGATGTCTCGTTTTGTACTTGATGCATGCAAATATAATGCACGCTAATATATTTGATTCGTAATTGAATCTTCGATTCGAAATTCTCGAATTATTCGAATTCGAATCATAGGGATTCAGATTCGAATTCGAATAGTTCGCACATCTCTACTGTAAACCAATAATCACTAAAAGTTTTAGAATCTTGAATTTAAAAATTTTTACATATATATAGCATATCCACTTAAAAATCCCCGAGAGAAGATTTATTTTATATTTACTAACTTAGAACTTTGGAATTTTTTAAATATTCCGCTTTTGTTACCGCTCGAACCATACACTCATTCACAGAAATGGTATTTCCTCCTAGAGCCATTTTTACAATTAATCTTCCTGCATCCTCATCAAAGCCTTCAATTTGACCATATGTATTGGACTGTTTGCCAGCAATAATTTTAATGAAACTTCCCTTCTCCATTCGTAGTTCTTCTTCTTCTTTTCGAGGTTTCTCATTCTGTTTTTGCAATGTGACTTTATCTGCACCAAGTCCCATTCCTTTTGGACGTAATTCAGGTACAACAGTTGCTACAACTCTGTAAAAGTAACATATAGAAATGTAGAGAACAGACTTGAAGATTTATGCTGAAATAAAGAACATAATAAACATACAGTATAGAGTTCACATAAAACAAAGCTCATACTTTTCATTTTTACCAATCCCCTTGCCAGGTTTCCAACCCATTCCACGTAACATAGCTAAACCAAAAGCATCTACTGGAATCTTCTCATAATCGTCTAATGTACTCTGTGTGAGAAGAAAAGAATAATGAATTATTTACAACATTACATTCTTGTCAGATATTATCAATAGCTTCAGAAACACTTACTTCTTCAACACCTCTTAAATTCTGTTCCTCAGTTAAGGGTAAAGTAAGATCCTTTAATTTGCTGTCCTTCTTATCTGTTGATTTGAGATCTTCTATAATTTCTTTAGCTGCCTGTTCTTCCAAAGTAAGGGCTTCACTTTCGTTTTCAACAGACAGTTCTGTTTTTATTTGTACATTTGAAACACTGTTATTAACTAATGTTAAATCCCCATTCGATACTTCTTGTGGTTCTTCTTTAATATTAATAGTTTGCGTATGATTCTCATTAGTTATTTTAGATTCAAATATGTCAGCATCTATTTTATTAACAATTCTATCATGCCAAGTCTTAGATCCCAAGAGTGGGATGACAAGCGGTTCTTCTTTCTTTTCTTCTTCCCTGAACAAAAATATTCTTGTTAATTCAAATTTGATTTATAGAATTTATAAGTTGTGTGAATATAGGTACGGATGAACAATACACATATAACAATATATTTTTATAACTTACCCGATCACTTTAATTGCTTTTTCATCCAGGCATTCGATGTAATCTACCTTTTTTTCTTCCTGTGGCACTTGTTTCACCAATGTTGGTTTTTTTATAGATTTCGCGAAGCCAAAAGAAATTTTTTTCCCTTCTTCAGCCATTTCAGCAGTAAATTTTCTAAATTTTTCTTCTTTTATAATTTTCGCGTTCCTGTTAGGTCTATACAATTGTTTCTTGTCTCTCGTTAAAATTATACTGGCACACACACACACACACACACAATTTGCTTAAATTTATATGACTCTCTCACTCTCTCCTTTGATGTACATTTTATTCATGATAACTTTCGCCATGAAATACCTGATACTTAGAGGGTTATACATTCTAGACAAGTCGTTCTCTTTGCCTATATATCACAATTGCACTTGCTGCACTTTAGATAACAAAATCGATATATTAAAAAATTAAAGAAAAGAAGAGATTCGGATAATGATCATTACTTTTATTATAATTTTTATATTTCAGATAAACAAAAAGGTCTTCGTTTCCTTCGCATTAATTTTGATAAATGCGTCGTCATAGACGAGTCATCATAGAGGGCTCGTACGAGCTCTCATCAAGTATCGATACTCGTTTCGAGACTTGCGATACAGGCAGTCAGTTACATGACTATAGTGAATAGCGCAGTATATTCGAAAAGTTGTATTTCTCGCAGTTTCGGCTCGTTCAAAGGTAAGTCCCGCATGCGAATTATCGTTTCTGTGAGAGCCAAAAGTAAATTTCGTACTTGCATGTCGCGACAAAATATTGCGGGACAGTCCTCGGACATGAAAATCTGATGTCACAGTTCGTCGGGAGCGACAAAGTATCGGTGTGTTCGGCCCGTATGGGTTAGGTATTCAAACTGCTTTTCTGTTTATGTTTTAGGCCTCGAAAGAGTTTGGTGTATTATCATCGAGAATATCGAAAGTTTTATCGTTACGTCGAAATATCGCCAGACAGTCGCCGATGATAAACATCTCGCATAGTAATCGCGGAGAGTGCCTAATGAAGTTATGCGCGTAATGATGTGTAGTAATTTTGACTACCTCAATCGTTGCGATCTTCAGACACGTACAGAATGGATCGCAACGCCGCAATTGAGATACGTAAGTCGTTCCATATTATTCACGATGTTCGCTCGACGTGGGTAAATCTCATGCGTCAGTTATTACTTCCGGTATCACCAAAAGTTTCGCGCGTGTGTAATAATAGAACATCATGGAACAGCCGCCGAGCGTAAATATTTCGCGGAAACGTCTTGTCGGAATTGCCGAGCAAAGTATCGCGTATACGTAATAATGGCGACTCGGAATATTTTTATGCTTTCGATCGACCGGAAAGATCTCATGCACGAATTATCGAAAGCGTTTGTTATAAAAACATTATCGGAAAAATCGCGAAATGGTCGTCAGGAAAATTATGTTCGTATAATGGTCATCAGAAGAAGTCTACTCTGCAAATTCTCATTGGAAATGCCGAACGTGGATGGAAATTCAAGTCGCTGCATTCTAGGCTATAGAAGAATCGGTAAGTCTAATATATCAGATGATATAAATATGATATTATTCAGAATTTGTGCACTGTATAACGGTGTATAAGTGTCTTAATACTTATTTCTTTATTATTCAGTTTCTATTTAATTTTTATAAAAAATGTACGATTCTAACTTATTGTTAGAGATATTGAAAACTACAGAATTTACATGTATTGATTCGAGTGGAAAGTGCTTTCCTCCTTCGCATATTGCATATGTAAAAGTTAACGAAAAAATGAAAGAAAATGATTCTCATATAACTCCCAAACATATATATACCATTTTACATACTAATAGACGAGATATTTATAATTCAGTAAGTGTCTCGTATAGTAACATGTAACATTGAAAATTCAAACGTTGAAATATCTGATATTAGTATTTTTGAACATTCGTCACAACATGATAGTAAGATTTTTCGTTTAATTATATCTGAAAATAAATGGGAGGAAATAAAACCAGTAATTAAACGATATAATAATTGCCGCTTTTTAAAATTGAAATCAGGAAAGTGGTCTCATGTATTTGCTTGTAAAATATGGGAACAAAATAAAATCCCTTGTGCTTTTATATTAAAAAGCGCGACAGCATACTCAGGTCATAATGTAAAATGTTTCGTTACATTTTATGCTATATGCAAGGAATATAAAGCAAGGGCAAAATTACAAGGCAAAATGTATCAAAAGTCGGCTGATAAACAAGATGCAATATTTGAATGCACTTTAAATAAATTTAATAATCAAATTAGTCGCGTAAAAAAAGAAAATTAAAAAGTTTTCTCCGGAAATTGCAGGTCATTTATTAGATAATAAAAAACACGCAACAATTTGGCGCGAACAGGATAAATGAAATTTGGAGATATAAGTCCACTAATTTTATATTACTCACAAGTTCTACGTAAAGCAAAACAGAGTGAATTGGATGATCGTTGAGGTATCAATAGTGACAATGCAATACAAAATTTGCAAACGTTCAAATATACTACACAAATTGCTTCAATACACAATATAGGTTTAGATGCTTTTTATGTTCAACAAAGCATACAAATTCTTCTTCCTTATATATTTTAGATGTATTCAACGATATTGATATTTATCTGATATTATCCTTGTTTCCTCTGAAACTTTTCTCTTCGGAATTATGACGGCAAACACAATTTACAACTTAAAAAACTGTTATATATGAAAGATATAACCTGATATAACCCCATTGTAACTCCTTTAACGACTCCTGTAACAAACTGTCACTCAGCTGTCATTCGCTGCGATGACAGCCGCAAACGACACGAAGCCGGTCGCAACGCGGCATCGAAATGATCAATTAGCATCGCGGAAAAGAGGCTTGAATGCTTCGATACGACTTCGATACATTCGAGATTTGGATCACATGCCTTTTTTTTAAAGGGACATATGAAATTGCTAATTTGTATATAATATGTAATTTGTATATAAGGAAAAAGTCACATTACTTGAGACTAAAAGTAACGAGATATAAAAGTAACTCGAGATATAAAAGTAACGTATGAAATGTGAAAAATATCATGGCATCTTACAGTTTTCGGACATATATAATTATGTTATAATATACTGATAATCGACATTTATATTTACAATAAAATCTTAGTTCTCTTCAAGTGAGATTAGTCTCAGGCTATAACAAAATACTCATAAAAAATTTATGATTATATGAGAATCTAACATCACAGTGCTCTGCAATTATCCTTGTAATTACCTTTTTCTCTGTTTTACAACCCCATTGATAGCACAAAATTATATTCAAGATATTTATCGTTAATGCAAGATGTGCGTTATGAAACCGAATAACTTGCATATAATTAAATTTTACAATATATGACTACAAATGATGTTAAACATATGAATTCTACACACTTAGCAGAGATATGTTTAATGCAAATAAGAAACAATCAGTGCAATATCGAGTCAGTATTATTGCACATGTACAGTTGTACATTTATTCCACAATAATGTGTATCATGTTCTGACTTTAGTATCTATATAACGCATAATTAATGACATATTCCGGCCATTACACCCATACTAATTATCCTGCATGCTTGTACTTGCAATGAGCGTGTCGAATTTAAAGAGAATGGAATAGAAGTTGAAATGATAATTATCATACGGTACTATATATATACTTCATCGCTTCATTGTACTCTCGACGATTTATGCATCGCGACGCATGACAACATTATTGATTATTACGTCGCTTCCAATTGTCCGTTTGGATTTGATTCTTCTGCAGTTCTCCGTTTTGTTTTAAAACACACAATAATAAACGTTTCCAAGGTTTCCAAGATTGTACGATATATTAATTCGTCGATGGAAAAATTTGTAATATTAAGATCACACTTGTAGTATCGTGAAATACTTAAATAAGGATAATACTCTATATCCCTCCCCTTCTTTTTTCCTATACGATATATCTCACATCTACTAGACAGCCGAAAATTCGACTCGATTAAAAGATATGCAAAAAATGTGCAATGTCGAATTATATTTTACTTACATTCATTCGTTACACTGCATACATGTCGATTATGTTTGGAAGAATTTCGGCAAAGACAGTTTCGGAATATCCTGTTTGTTCGAGTCTTATCGCAACGAGTCGAGATTATCGCAACGTTTTCGTCGGACTGCGCGACTGTCTATCTTTCGGTACTAGCTTTCGGTACAGTTTACAGTTAAAAACGATGAGCAATTGTGAACGGTAGTTAACTCCGTGGTAGAGGGGTGAGCATGTTTCAGTTGCGACAACTGAACGGTATGCAGATACGGAGCCGGGGTAAGCCGGTAGCCCGTGGGCTACCTGCGCGGTAGTAATCATAGTCACTCCGAACAGTCAACGACACTCGTGAGACCCGCAGGCGGATAGCAGGTACATTATTTAGCGAAGCTTGAAGTAACCTTCTGTCAGTGCGGCCTAGTGTAACATCAAATTAACATTCGCACGTAAACAAATGCAAGAGCGCACCGCGGCAATGAAAAAAATATCTCTCTCCCGCATGCAAACTGAAAACAGATTGTTGCATCGCTGTGAGACCGAGATTCGACAAATTTGAGAAATTCACCCTTTCGTTTTTGCACGCACATTTAATTATGTTACAATAATTTCAAAACAGCTTTTTTTTCTTTTACGAACTTTTACAGACATGTTATTTCATTTATATTCATATTTTCCTTTTCCCTCAGAGCGCAATTTGCCTTTCAAACGGAACATTTCATTACACGGTAAATAGGAAAATTGTACGCTCTGAAATGTATCCGTGTATATTCATTATTACGAAAATTTATAAATTTTTAAGTATTTTATGTCTGATTACATCGCGTCAGTATCATGACATAATTTTAATCGACTGTAATGAACGTTAAATCATTATTAGTTGGCGCATGGAACAAAATATGATCACGATGAAATTTATATACGTATTGAAAATTGTACATTAAAAGTGACTAAACATTTAATCTTTGATTGTACTGTGCGAGGTAAAAGGCGAAAAATATAAACATAAAATAAAAAGTATAGCGTTCATGTTGGCAAAATAATTTCAAAGAATAGAGTTTGCGTTTAATTTGAAACGTCAGTATTCAGGTTTCGAATTGATGATAATATATAATTATATTAAATCGTTCTTTTACGTTCCGCGCGGAACTCGCGGATGGTTGCAATTTAACGTCTTATAATTACCATCTGTGCCATTTGTCTAATTTAACATTACATTCCGCCGCATACTGATGTTGATTAATAAATTTACATTAGTATATTCGCAAGAAAGTGTACACGGTCGTTGGTATAAACATGGTTAACGTCATAAAATCGGACACGACGCGCGTTCGTTCTCTTGCATAAATAACTTGAAAATTTATATCATCGTAACTATTGTTTATGTATCTTGTCAAATGAATTCTTTTATTTTATAACTATAGTTTATAACTATATAGTAGCAATATCCGATATTTTATTATATTATAGATTATTGTTATATTGATTGTATTTAAAACAAATCTTACTTCAATTAATTTGCATGTGGGATTTCAATTAACTATTTTTACGATATAAATATTTCTCTCTCTTTCTCTTTCTCTTTCTCTCTCGTTTCTGATATTTTCCGTGCAAAAGTTCAAGCAAATCTATTAAAAACAGTGACGTTTTCCCTACGCAGCACGTTCCAATTTCAGAGATGGTAAAGCGTCAACGTCCAGTTCCGTCGTGAGACATGTTGTTCAGCCACGTGGCATGGCCAATTAAGAAAGATCTTTAATTGCGAATCACGAGACGGTCTCTCGGCACGGTGTTGGCGTAGCCTAACTGTAAACCGCGAGTATAACTGTGTGACGCCAGCGGTAGTAACGGCCAGATCGTCGTCCTGCTGAAGATTTGTTCCGCTACATCGCCATAGATACCGACCACTCTTGCTCGCAGTCGTGCGGTTCGTCGTCTGTTACCGGTATATTCACAATGTAACGTTTGTAATTGTGGAGCAATGACTCAATGTGTAACCGGAAGCTTTCAACGCCCGCCACACGCCGCGTAAGATCCTGGCCTGTAGAACAGTACCGACGTTCTTTGTTAGCGGCGGCGATCTCGCGTTGATTACGAAGTCACGTTATTTCTTCGTCACGGTGACGGTGTGTACTTCTCTTTTCGCGCTGTGACGTTTCCGGGATAATCCATGTAGCATTAAAATTGAATCTTTCTCGACGTGAAGGGAGAGAAAAAGAGAGAGAAATGCAAAAGGACAAGAAATATTTCTTTCATTCAAAGTAAAAAAGAAGACCGTGAAATGAGAGCTGTAATAAAGAAAGAGGGAGAATCAGAACTTTCGTTGGCAAGAATACGACGCGATTTCGAACCAGTAGTAGACGCGTTCGCGGGAACAATCGTCCGGCCGGATCTACGAGCCCCGCGCCGGAACTCGACATAATACCGCGGAAACGGCCTGGGAAATTATATTTGTTATGGAGAATCGACCGTGTCTACGTTGGAGGACGATTTGATCTCTGACCGCGCAACGACCGGACGAAGCGGTCATTGAATGTGTATCGCCGGTTCTTTTTTTCGCAGTTGAGCGTTTCGCAGTGAAAAGTGCCGGTGACATTCACGGTTACGTTCAAAGTGTACGCGAACAATCAGACCGATTCGCGAATGTCGGCCTCGCGTGCAGCAGAAATGCGTGAAAGTACAATTTGTTCATTTAGCTACGCGTCTCGACAGCCTTCTATCTTTTAATTGATTAATTAGAGCATTGTGTTTGAATGAAGGATTTTCGCTTGTTTTTAATTTAAACATGTGATCTTCGACACCTGTACATTAACATTAACGAGCTCTCGACATTGCACTCGCATTGCATGTTCTTGCTTCCAACTTGCACTATTTTATCACGTTGGCATGAACTTGCACTTTGTTAAAATTACAGACAAATTTCTAAGATCGCAAATTGTCGATTCATTTCCTAAGCAATGCGGGATTTTCTTTAAGTAATCTAGAACAATCAAACAATCAATATTGCTATCAAAGATACAGATTATTATATTGTAATAATTTATCTTCTCGCATATCTTAAGATCATTTTTGGAAGTTGTAACTTGAATAATCTGTGTTATACTTTTATCTTCCTTTGATTTAAATTTTTTTTAATTTCTTGATCTTTCGTAATTATATACCAAATTTGTTAAATTTTAGAACATACCCGCATTATTCATGAGATGAATTCGCTACGTTGAGCTAGTAATATGCAACGATTTAGCGAATCGCGTCTTTCAGATAAATCACGATAATGCGCTTGTCAATCATGTATCGATTGATCTTTCTACTGGCTGGAGCCAACGCGGCCGGCATCGGCGAGGCTTGGCAGGTAACGCCGCACGCAAAGTCCGTCTATACTGATCATCCGTTTCGGCCACGACTGGACTCTTCAGCATTCGAGGTTCGTACTGTGAGCGGAGTAGGTCGTCTGGCTCCTCTCGACGAATCGGCAAACGCTCATAGACAACGTCCGGAATTTACCACACCGAGTTCCATAGAACCGAGCGCTCTTCCGGATGCCGAGCAGGCATCTCGAGAGAACAGAAACTTGAAGCATTTACGGGAGAGTTTGGAGAGTTCATCGTTCAATGACGACGACGACGACGACGACGATGAGATTGAAAAGAAAGACGAGGCTGAGGATGACTTCGTCCCCATTCAAAAGTTATTCAAAACGAGACTCATGATGAGACTACTGAATTTAGATAAGAAAGATGACAACGACGACGACGATGAAGAGTCTCCAAGGGAGAGGAGAGGACTCGTACAGCGGGTTCGTCGACAAGCGGAGAACGAGACGAGCATGGAGAAGATCTCGACGACTAAAAGCGTGCGCGAAGCCCGCATGAATTTTCCCGAAACATGGTCGACCTCGGTGCAACCGATTTCAGTGGAGTTCCGTCATCGTATCCCTTTGGATCAAGTGATTCAACAGCAGCAACAGCAAGAAGAGGAAGAGACAGCTCTGTCCAGCAGTTACCGGAGACACCAGGCACCCCATGCGGATTTCGTGACGAGCCACTATCGGCGAAGCTACCCGGAAAGCCGCGAGTCCAGGGACATGCCGATCACCAGGAACTACCACGACGACTATGAGACCTCGTGGTATAGGAACGCGATACGTGAGAGAGACTACGATTTCCCGTCGTACCGTCGCGGATATAGCAGCTATCAGTATCCCGATCGTTACAGGACGGAGAGGGACTACTACATGCGTCCATCAAGCGACCCGTACTACGATCGTTACGATCGTTACAGGGAGGACAACCTTGACCTTTACGGCAGGAGTCGACCTACGCCTAAGCCCAGACGAATCATCTACTACGCCACCTTGCCGGAGATCGTGAGGAAACCGGTAGATCTGAGAAATTACCCGCGAGCTCCCTACGACGCGGCGAACAACGTCAGGTCAACAGTCACGCGAGACAACACCTACAAGCGTGTGCCAGGTAACGTCGATCCTAGCAGGTATCGATACCGAAACGTGTACGACGCCTATGATCCGTACACGAAGAGATCGAGCTACTACGAGCGTCCCTATGGGTATTCCGACCCGAGCGACTCGCGGCATGTCAAGGTCTCGACGAAAGAGAACCTCCGGAACGACGGATTCAGTGCGACTAATGAGCGCAAGGTGAGCAATCTTATCACGATTCGTGACGACGACGGCAAACTGCCGTGGCCGGTGCAGATCGGCACAGAGGTAAATATCAAGGAGGACGAGAGGATCCCCGGGAGGAAGATCTTCGGCGAGAGCGTCGGCAACTACGAAAGATTTCAGAGCGCGCAATTGCAAAAGGCACCAGACGCCACGGGTTCCAGCGAACTCCAGAACGACAATTAATTAATTAGTCGAATGCCACGTGATCGAAAACTACTTCGGCACTAAGATTACGTGAACATGGGCGTATGATATGCAAAACTATATGACGTGAAAGAGACTAGATATGCGTACAACTAGAATAAATATAAATAAAAACATATGTAATAGACGCCTTTATACGATATGCAGGGTATCACAGGCTTAAGAATACATCTTTTGCTTGAATTCTTCAACTCGAGGACGATTTTTTTTTAATCCATGTATAATATAAATTGTGAAGATTTATATCTTTTCAACAATGATAATCTGTTACAGATTATCATTGTTGCAATTATTCGGTTCCATATACACAGACACAGAGTTGTTGAATAATAAAGGATAAAGAAAATTACAGAGAACTGGGAGTCAATTAATTATTGATTGACTGTCATTATGTAAGTGAAAAATACAATCCACTACGTAATCGATTACCTATAATATAAGGGTGAGGATATAAGTATCAACTTCCTCTAAAATTTTTCAATTCTCGATGATTGAAAATGATTAATATGTTTTATTTATTTAATTATTTAAAGGGTGGCAATGGGAGAGGTTATGGTTAAATAAATGGTGTTCGGTTTTTCGGTTCAGGTATTCGGTTGGTTTATGGGTATTTTTTATAGTTAATATCAAATCACTATTGCTGAAATAGGATATATGTGGAAACGATAGTTAATTTATTCATCCATACTTTTATGAACTTGTTTTAGTAACATACAGAATGTTTGCAATATGAAATTGGAGGATATTTCTTTTTTATTATCGCATATTCTGATTAAGAAATAAGTTGTGTACTAACTCAATAATTACATTACATATATTTGCGATTATAAAAAAGTAGGAAATTATATAATATACATTTATATCAATAAGAGAAAAATTTCTTACTCTTTCCTCTTAGAAACGCCTGTTTTATACTTTCGACAATAAAGTTCAGTTTTCATTGATTTTCACATTTTGATTTTCCTGACGATTTTTCGCAAGTTTTCCACAAAGCTCCTTTCAAATTATCCCGTCCATTTTCATATTGCATCTTCGTACCTTAACACTTTGCCAACCGCGCACGCCATAGCTAACTGAACGCTTTCCACCGCGCATTTTTTCAAGCTACGCAGACTAATCTTCAAGGACACAAAGAACACATAAAATTGATTTTAACCGAAACTATATTTGATGGTAATGATCCTATATACACATAGTTTATATAACACATGAAATTAAAAATAAAAAACATAATTAAACATTTTTTGTAATTCATGTAAAACGTAAATTAATACTTTTTTAAAGTGTGATAACGTTCGAAACAGGATAGTTTATGTAATGGTAAATTACAAAACTGGTAAATATAACGCGTATATCCATCAGGACTAACTAAATAATAACAAGTGAGCAACAAACAAAATGGAAGGTAACACTTTTCTAAGAGAAAGAGGGTGATCTCTCCAATCGGTAATGCAGCGACTTAGACTTGGTCTACAATATGTGTTGTAAATTGTAAGCCGTAAGAACTAATCAATTATAGCCGATTATTTTTGTAATAATTAACTGTGATTCGCCAATTCTTATGGCTTACAACTTACGACACGTATTATAGACCAGGCCTTACTTCAAAGTGGGAAGATTTCCCCACTCGGTCGGCAAAGTGTTAAGATTCATAAATATCTAGAACAAAGAGGATATAATAATTGGATTTTGTTTGTTACCAAGCTAATTTAGTCAGTTATGTTCCATTTCGATTATTTTGAATTTTTCAATACTAAATTTGTTTAGGTTTAATTTGTTAGGCTGAATTTGAATTGTTCTATACATTTGTCCTATATATTCATCTACACTTTGCTGCACTTTTACAGTTTGATAATCTACATGATTTTAAGCTTACCTTACAGTCGGTCAAGTTAGTATCTGTTTATTCGTGTAAGAACTTACCGACGACAGTGCTTTACCGACATTTGCTTTACCAAAAGAGCTGAACGTTTCCACCGCGCATTTTTTCAAGTTACGCAGACACAAAAAACATATAAAATTGATTTTAACCGAAACTATATTTAATGACAATGATCCTATATATACATAGTTTATATAACACATGAAATTAAAAATATAAAACATAATAAAACCTCCAAACTTCAAAGTGTGGAGATTTCCCCACTCGGTCGGCAAAGTGTTAACATTTTACCAACCGCGCGCGCCATAGCTAATTGAGCTTTCCACCGCACATTTTTTCAAGTTACGCAGACACAAAGAACATATAAAATTGATTTTAACCGAAACTATATTTAATGGCAATGATCCTATATATATATAGTTTATATAACACATGAAATTAAAAATATAAAACATAATGAAACCTCCAAACTTCAAAGTGTGGAGATTTCCCCACTCGGTCGGCAAAGTGTTAACATTTTACCAACCGCGCGCGCCATAGCTAACTGAACGCTTTCCACCGCACATTTTTTCAAGTTACGCAGACACAAAGAACATATAAAATTGATTTTAACCGAAACTATATTTAATGGCAATGGTCCTATATATATATAGTTTATATAACACATGAAATTAAAAATATAAAACATAATAAAACCTTCAAACTTCAAAGTGCGGAGATTTCCCCACTCGGTCGGCAAAGTGTTAACATTTTACCAACCGCGCGCGCCATATCTAACTGAACGCTTTCCATCGCGCATTTTTTCAAGTTACGCAGACTGATCTTCAAGGACACAAAGAACACATAAAATTGATTTTAACCGAAATTATATTTGATGGCGATGATCCTATATATACATAGTTTATATAACACATGAAATTAAAAATAAAAAACATAATTAAACCTTCAAACTTCAAAGTGCGGAGATTTCCCTTCGGAATTTCGACCCGGTCGGCAAAGTGTTAACATTTTACCAACTACGCGCGCCACAGCTGACGGCGTGCGAGTGAAATGCGCGTGCGATGCGTATGCGAAAATGTACAGTTTATGTTACATATAATATAGATTTTCGTATGCGCATTTCATTCGCACGCCGTCAGGAATCGAGCCCCGGGCTTTTGCATAACACATAATACATAACACATAAGAGAATAAACCAATTAGTTTTCTTCATTTCCCTCCTCAGGACAGAAATGAAGAACTCTGATTTGTTGATTCTTTTATGCGTTGTGTATTTATGCGTTATGCAGAAATCTGTGCTTTGGCCCATAGACTTTGTGAACTGTCGCCATCTGCTGCCAGTGAGTTTAAGTAATACAACCCATTCTGATATACCACAGATGTCTATACTATACCAGTGATTTTAAGTAATACAAGTCATTCTGTCCATAGATGTCGATACTATACTAGGTCGCTAACCATATATATAGTATATCTAGACTGCGTGTCCGAGGAGTGGGGGTATAAGCTCACGTAGAAAAGGATGTACTCTGTTTGTACTGTTCGTTCTCTCTCGCAGTCCCGATGGAAGGGGTACAGGGAGGCAGTTGCTCTACAGTGCTGTACAATAACCGACTGTGCGAGACTGTGCGAGACTGTGCGAAAGAGAACGAACAGTAAAAACAGAGTGCTTCCCTTTCTACGAGAGTTATATCCTCACTCTTGAAATTTGAGAGAACACACACAGTCTAGATATATTATGTCTATGCCGCTAACTTTGAGCTTTGATATACGAGTGTAGTCCCAGAAGTACCCCGACCTAACAAAGAAAACACAAAAAATTTGAGAAAAAATATCTTTATTTCTTTACATAGTCTCCTTTTAGCTCAACAGATTTTTCCTAGCAATGTTCAATAGCTTCGATACCCTGTTTGCAGTGGGAATTGTCGAGCTCCTCGAAATAGCCATCAACCGCAGATTCCACCTCTTCATTGTTGACAAATCTTTTACCACCGAGCCATTTTTTCAAGTTTGGAAACAGAAAATAATCCGAGGGGGCTAAATCTGACGAATAGGGTGCGTGAGGAAGCAATTCGAACTTTAACTCATTGATTTTGGCCATTGCGATAACGGATGTGTTGTAAACTGGTGCATTGTCTTGATGAAACAAAACTTTCTTTTTCGCCAAATGCGGCCGTTTTTTCTTGATTTCATCACTCAAACGCTGCAATAAGTTCGCATAATACTCGCCGTTAATTGTTTTTCCTTTCTGAAGATAATCAATGAAAATTATCCCACGCGCATCTCAAAAAACTGACGCCATGACCTTGCCTGCAGATAGAACTGTCTTCGCCTTCTTTGGAGCCGATTCTCCCCTTTCAGTCCATTGTTTTGACTGTTCCTTCGTTTCAGGTGTGAAGTGATGGACCCATGTTTCATCCATGGTTATGAATCGATGCAAAAACTCGGCTTTATTGCTGCGAAACTTCGCCAAACACTCGATTGAAACATTCTCACGACACTGTTTTTGTTCCAATCGGCGGCACCCATCTTGCGTACAGCTTTCTCATGTCCAAATTTTCAGTCAATATGCGACGTACAGCACTTTTTGAAACGCCTACCATGTTTGCTAACTCGCGCACTTTCAGTCGACGGTCATTCAATACCATTTTGTGGATTTTCTTCACCATTTCTGGCGTGGTCACCTCATTTGGTCGACCACTGCGATATTCGTCTTCGCAGCTCATACGGTCTCGTTTAAACTCTACCCAATATTTTACCCAATATTTTACTGTTGTAAACGAAGGAGCAGACTCTCCCAGGTGTAGAATCTAGCTGCGCTTTGATATTGGTTGGACCGAGGCCTTTCAAATGAAAGTATTTTATCACATAACGATGACCAATTTTTTCCATGTTTACAAATTCACTGAGAGCGTTCACTATTGATGGCTGCCAAACAAATACTAAACAACGTAGCGTCGTCAAACTTCAAACTTAAGCTTTATAAGGTTGGTACTTTCTACCATAGTCATTCTTTTCAAACAACAACCGCTATCTATACGTCAGGTCAGGTACTTCTGGGACTACCCTCGTATATACGAAAGCTGTGCCGAACCGTTTTCCGGCTCGGTCATGACAGCTCTCAAAACATGGCGGCGGTGTGTGTTTGTAGTATATACGTGAGTACTCGGTGTGTATGTAGTAGTGTGTATGTGAGACCTGGCGTGTTGATACTTATTGCTATAGCAATCATGCTATGACTATATCAACATGCCGGATCTCACATACACACTACTACACCGGGTACTCATGTACACACTACAAACACACAGCACCGTCATGTTCTCAGAGGTGTCACAGCCGAACCGGAAAACGGTTCGACACACCTCTTTTGAGAAGTTAGCGATCTAGTAAATATAATATAGAAATCTGTGTTCTGTGCCGATGAAATTGTAATTTGCCTGAATGCATTGACGTTTGGGTTCAATAGATTTATGAAATAATTAGGGGCTTTTATTATTATGGCTTAATTATGAAAAACTGGTAGTTAAATTATTAATATTCTTGGAATTAGGTATTAATCAATATTATATTCGAGATGACAATCGATGAGATAATTTCAGAAAGAAATCAATTATTATTAATGTTTTTGCAAGATAACTTTTCTCTCAAAGGAATATCGATATTTTTGTGATCGCTGGAAAAGAAAAAATAAGATTTCGGTTCATCGCAAAGCGAATAACGCTTCAGAACCGTCGTTGAGATTTTTTCGTCATCACATCATTGAGGAAAGTCAGAAATCATCGCATCGACCTCCTAATCGGCGGTATTATCGTGCATTATCGGACCATATGGAATTTGGGCCCGAAAATAGTCCCGTGCAGGAAATTGCTAACGAC